TTTATGGTCAATAAATACTTTGTAGGTCACTTTTCACGTGACCATTCTAGATGATTTGCTTTGTGATGAGATAGTATTTCCAAACAACTACATGGGGTCTAATATTTGGAAACAGCAGCCACACTGCAGATAGTAACATTTGGTCAGAGGAGTATTGTGATTTCTTGAAGGGAGCTCTCTACACAAATAGGAGAATTTCTGGAAAAAATATAAATTTAATTTCTTAACACATTTTTTTAAAGCACTTGATACAGTAGTGTATTTGTATGTACAGTTGAAAGATTGGATTGTCACTATGCTACATATATGTTGCCTTATCCTAGATCATAATCTTCTTCTGGCGTCAGAAGGGAATTTTTCAGTGACTAAGGTCTTCTCTCTTCCATGGATAATGCCAGAGTCTTTGCTCTGCTACTGCAGGTTTATATAGTAAGGTGCTGGGAATCATTTTGCAGCCAGATCTTGTGCAGACACATGGATTAAGTGTTTTATGGACCCTTCTAAATGAAACATAAATTTCTCTGCAATTGTRACTTGGGTGATCCTTTCTGCTCTTATCTTCCTATGAATGTGTCAGAGGCAACACAGCTGTGTACACAGGCCAACCCAGTATAAGAAAATTGTGTAATCTTCATGTGATTCTCCCCAAACGTGTAGCGAATGGTGTGTAGGAAGTATTTTAGTAAAGCACAGTCGGTAGAAGAGAGTCACCAACTGTTGAGATAGGCAAAATGAATCTAGACACAAGATTAGAGTTTTGGGAAGGTTGAATCACATCCTTAGATCATATCCTTCAAAAACAGTGAAAAAATCATTGCAAAATCTCATAACCAGATGTTTGACATTCAGTACCTCCCAGGCAAAGATTTTAATATTTTAAAATTGATAAATCAAATCAAAATAATATCATGAAGAACTTAAAAAAAATAGGCTTGATTGGAAAAGATCTTTCTTCTTGAGTTGTTTTTAAGGATATACCCATAAAGTTTCATATAAGGCTTTAAAAAAGAAAAAAAAAAAGCGGTGTGGGCACAGAATAAATGACACCACCTTTTAGATGTAGAATATCATTACACTTTCATTTTACATTTATTTGAAAAGACAAAAAAAAAAAGCCCAAAACTTAAAATAGAATKTACACCTATATTTTTCTTCCCGCCTTGCCTAATTTTGTGACCTGCCTTGAATAGTAAGCTCTCCACTGCTACAAAGACAGAAGAATAACACTATTTTCCTGCTATTTGCCTCTGACACCATCATTCACAAAACAGATTTTTTTTTTTTTAACAGAATATTTCACATAGTGAATTACATCCAAATAAAACCTTACTATGTAAGGCAAACTGCAATAGCATTCCAGCTCTGTGCATTCCCTCGTTATATGGAGCTCGCAGCAGTGACAACGTCTGGGAACGAAGGAAAAGGCAAAAATGGAGAAATATTGGTAAAGCTCAGGAAATGTGTGTGTGTGTGTATGTGTGTATCAACAAAAGATAATAATAAAATCATACACCGCACCAACATAGAGTTCTCTCTCAAATATGATCACCCTTTCAGAGATTCCTTCTTTAAAAAAAGCTAAGAATATCAAGCTTAAGCAAAAGTTCAAATAAACATTTGTTCTCCTTCCATATCTGCACTGTACAAGCAGTTTTACTGAACGCACAATCAAGAATCATCTGAACAGTAATTTACTCAAAGGATTGATGACTAAATATTCAATCTATAATCCAAAATTTTCTATTAACATCTATAATTTTGAAAAGCAATTTTGAAAATGATAGCTTAATTCTGACCAGTAAATTTCTTATATTTTTTCAAAGAACAAGCACCTCTAATGATGTTATTGCTGCACTCTCTTTACTCTAATTCARGGGACGCAGGTATCAACAACTCTTTGTTTACTTGTTTGCCAAACAATCTTTTGCTACAGGTGTCCTACTGTGCAATATTCTAGGAATTCTAGCTTCTTAAAAACTCAGTATTTTTCTCCCAATTGCTGACCACTATCCTCTCATATAAGAGAGGAAGGAAGGTAATGCAGACTAGATTCACATCCAAAAATGTGAATTGATAGATTCTGTGAAGGATTGTTGTTTTGTTCTTTTTATCAAGAGGAAAGAGTTATTTATTTACAGCATTATATTTTACAACATATCTACTTGTGAGTTTACATATACTTTCCACATAGCTGTATATTGAAAGGACCCATAAGTAATTAGAACCATTGAAACCCTGCATCATCCCAGGGAGTGAAAGCCAAGGAAATGAYGCTAATATTATTATTTGCAGCAATAATGGATGCAAAGACTTATTTCCCCCAAGTAAGTTGCAACACACTGGAAACTGAGGATGTTGTAAATTGCCATAATTGCCATTGCAGTAAAAGGATGATTGGATCAGCAGCTGAGTCCTCTCTTGGCCAGTGAGTTTGCTTTGGGAGAAAAATCTGAGGAAAGCTATCATTTTTGAGAGGATTTCAGCAAGAAAAGAGAAAGAGGGAGTTTTCCAATAGGAAGTAGAGAGAATTCAAGAATCTGAAATCGAAATGGGGGCAAGAACTAACGTTGCACAAAAAATCTCAGTCTGATAAAAGAGTCTGGAAGAAGGACACAGACTGGCTTGAAAAAAGAAAAAAAAAGAGTAGCTTGAAAAAGTGGCTGTAAAATAATTTTATGAAATTTTGTGTGTGAAGCATAAACACGTAGCCAATAAAAAAGGACATGCTCATTCTGAGAGACTTGCATCCTCCACTTRGAAAGGCCTTTAATAAGAAAAGGTGACAAGTTGCTTGGAACACCATGAAAAAGACTATGGGGCAGTGCTTCTGCTCCTTCCTGTTGAGGAGTTCTCAAAGCCCTGGCTGCGCTTTCTTGTCAAGGTATTTCTGCTTCCTGATCTAACAAAGATAACCTTGTCACCTATCCTGTTTGACARCGGTGAAAAGGACAGTTGCCATATTATCATCAGTACACTTTTCCTTAGTCTTAGAGCAATTCCCTCCCTTTCCCAGACCTGGGAAGAAATAGGTGCTTGGATAAAAGTAATTCAGTTAAAGTTCAGTCTAGTATAAAGAGATCAAGCCTATTGTCAAAAGGAAATACCTAAGACTCTGTAACTGCTCTCTTACCTACAGACTTACAGGTCTGTCTGTCGTCACGTGCAGATGAAGCACCTAGRGACACGGTTTGACAGGAAAGGTATTGAAGGGCTTACGCTTGGCCTCAATGATCTTGAAGGTCTTTTCCAGCCAGAATGATTCTGTRGTAACTATTCATAATCTCCAAAACTCAGCAGACATGTCTGTACTCATGGAGTCCTAAAGAGCCAAATGGACAAGGGCAAACTATCAACATATCTAGCTTCATCCAAGAGCACTCTTCCTTTCCAGTTTGATGGATCTTCTTACTCACCTTTTTCTTAAAGTACATTAATTCTACCACTCTCAAACTATAACTAAATCAGAAAGCAGGTGGAAGCCACATCTTCATGGAGAGGGGGTGCCGATCAGTTAAGCCAAAGACATCTGTAAGAGCATAATTCACCTCTTTCATTCATTTACTACCCATTTACTACTCTTTGATAGCTGCAGGAACAAAGCACATGGTGGGTATGGTTTATAAACCTTGTGGACTACTACGTGGTGAACAATCACCAGCACCTCCAAACTGAACTCCAGGAGTGGAGGAGGAGGAAMCCCCTCAGCTACATGGAATTAATCTGTCAGAAATCTAACCTGCAGCTTGAAACACTTCCAAATAGCTGACCAGAACAAAGTCATAGGTCACACTGGGCTACTACAATAAAATACTGTTTTGCTCCCCACTGATCTACAGAAGAATCTACCACCAGAGGAACTTCAGACTCTTCCAAAGGAAGGTAACATTTCTGCCACTGTCATCTCTTACGAGGAGTAACTTGGTAGGTCCACCTTTAAGTTACCAAGACTCACTTAACTGGGAAAATCTTTCTGTACTGTAAATAGTTGGTCTCTATATTTCAGTCTTGCATTTGGTGATAGTAGCTGGAAACAGTCAAGAAAAAGTTGACTCAGGCTAAACAAATGACACTTGGGTCAACTATTTCTCCAGTGAATATTTATCAGTTAAAAAAAAAAAAAAAAAAAAGAAATCAAGGTATTCTTGGAACAACACAAAGAGTAAAGCACTAGCCCCACCCTTTCCTATTTCTTTTCTCTAGAGCACAGAACACTTGGCCTCTAAATGCAAGTTTGTAATAAAAAAAGTTTCTAGAAATATGAAGAGCTTTTTTTTTCCCCCCTTTTTTTCTCTCTCATCTGCAACAGAAATTACACTCTTGTTCCTGCTAAATGTAGGATTTCCTTTGGTGGCAAGACAGATCTATTTGGAACTTTGGCTGATGSTAATAACTTCATAGATCAACGTATGGTTTAATTGATGGAACAGATGGAAGACACAGACTCTGCAACATTAAAGAGTTATACTTAATGCATTGGAATAACTGTGACTTGGTTTTAAAATGTTCTTCTAATTGTTTGAATAGTTAAACAGTGCCATGAATTCTATTTGAAATTTCAGTTCATACTGGTTTACAAGTTCATACTATAATTCTGTAAAAATCAATGACTTGTGATTTTCTCAGGGAAAAACATAAYGTATGAATTAACAAAAGGAAGAAATATCTTAATGAGAATTACTACTTGTAGGATAGACCCTGCGTGTGCAGCAGGGTTGGACTAGATGATCCCTAAAGGTCCCTTCCAACTTTAAGGATTCTATGACTATGATAGAGAGCTTTGCATAACCAAGTCCAGGACAATTCAGCCTTCAGGTTAACAAGGCACTTCAGTACATGTTAAAGCCTCTCCAAATCCCCAAAAGAATCTTACAGCATGTATAAATGTTTTGATGAATTTGAATGTTTGGCATAAAGTCTCAACATGCAAATGAGTAAAACATTGAGCAAAAGAGCCAGCTCTTCCAAAACAAAGTATAAATATAATCATATCTTAAGAATTACAACATTTTAACTTTAGATTCCTGTGTGTATTTGATGTTAATTGCGCATGATTATTTACACACAAGATGATGGTGAATTTGTTGACAAATCAAAGTTTCTTTTTAAGGCTACTTGACCCTCAGGTTATCTTGAAACAGTCATTCTTTTTGAACAGTCATTCTTTTTGGTAGCACACAATAAATGCTAATTTGATAAAAATATCTCTCCTTCACTCATATCATTATGGATAGATGAAATTTGACCAAACCTAAGCAGAAATGACCCATAAATCACATAGAGTGGCTGAGGTGGGAATAGAAATGAGAAACTATGTGTTGAACAAGATTACAAACTTACCCTAAGTTGTTGCTACACTACATTCAAGCTATATACAGGTATATGCGTTTATATATCTCCATACATGTATACATATATATTCCAATATCTTTCCCACTCTTGAATTTATAATATCTACTAAGAAAACTAAATACAGCAATGTAATGGGAGAGSAGTGCAGGCTGGATTGGGTCTTTAGACCAAAGCTAGGGCTGCATGACCTGCTCGGCGCCCAGAGGGGCTGCCGAGAAGCCCCAATGATTCAATTCACACAGTTCACACAAACTCCCCCAGTTTCTCCTCTCCTTGCAAGCACCCCTGTATCAATGTGATCCATAGACCAGCTTAAAAGAAGAATCAAGACTCGGCTTCTCCTTGCGCTGCCAACTGCTTTCCAATGGGTCAGTCCACGGTATGTTCCTCTCCTTATCCGAAGCTTGGACTTCAGAGCCGGCACGATCTAGCAAGATTGATTATATAGTCCATGTTATTATGTAACTGCATCAGCCACAGCCCACCCTGGTTTGTTTAGACATTTATCTTGTAAGCAACGCAGATAGGTTGACATAAAACGCTCTAAAATGGCAGGCTTGAAACCTGCTAACCCTCTGCCACTATATTTTAAAGGCGCTGCATATCTCAAAAGCACCTAACTCCTACTCATCTCAAGCAGAGTTAGATAGCCACGTATTTTCAAAGATTACTAAGCATCTGTTTGCATTGCTAGGAGCACAAATGCCTCAAAAACCTGCCCAGTGCCCTTTAGAGCACCTGGCCGACACTCAGAATATGGAATTCTTCGTCTATGCTAATTAACACAGCACAATTACAGGTGTAAGCACTTTCTAATCACTGAAAGCGTGAAGAAGTGGTAAGCTGCATTTCCCCTAACGGCTACACCCACAAAGATTAGATCTCAGTGGAAATGGGGGCACCAAGCCCCCCTGATTTCCTCCTCATACTGCAGCATAGAGTGACTCTTTCCCCTGTAAGATCCACTTCTTTCCTGTATGGAAGGGAACAACTACCAGGAGGAGCTACCAAAATCACTCTTAATTTATCTGTTATATRAGGCAACTCTGAGAAAGGAAGAATTTGAATAAATGCCCCTCTAAACACACTTCAGCACAGCACTGCCGCTGTGCTTCACCTTCCTCAGTGAGGCTTTGGCCATATTTTTTTTTTCTCCATGCTTTCAATAAGCGCATGAGRGTCCCAACCCTGCTCTAACAGCAGTGGAAATCCAAAATATAAGGAGGGGGAAGGCAGCCTCTCCCTCCCGTTAATATTCATCTGTCCTTGATTAGACAGGTAAAGGATCCGCTATGGGAATACAGAAGAAATCATTTCACTGTGTGGCTTCAAGCAGAACATACACCCTGTGAACAGATTGGTGTAAATTGTTATGTTTCCATCATATATGAAATTCAATGGGCTTTTCATTCTCAGTATAAACCTAAACTAGTTAAAGTCTGTATRTAGACGCGCTCTGCTATGAAACAGCAGCTCACATTAAAATTACATTATATTGTTTTGACAGGTCTGAATCAAAGGTTAAAATCATCTTTTTGCTGGACATTGTTTCTGTGATATTGCCCCACTGCCAAGCCTCAGTATGAACAAGCCCAGAATGATGTRAAATATTTCTAATACAAATTTTATTTTTATGTGAAACTATTCAAATGCTGCTGTACAACATGAACTACCTGAACCAAATCAAATCCTCAGGTCAATTCCTTCTTCCAAGTGCTCCTTAGATAACAAAGTCTTGTTCTGCGAATCTGTTCAATATATTAAAGTTGATTCACTCGGACAGTGTGTAAGATATAATACATTAATCTGGGCCATTTCAATTTCTGAGGCTGGGACTATAAAACTGGTGTGCTGCATATCTAATTTTTTTTGAATACCTGATTTATGCATCCCTCTGATGCACAGTGTCGATGGTGTGGTGGATGCGGCTGCTGCATTAACAACGGGCTGCATCAGCACTCAAATCTTATCTTGTTAAATCAGACAAATGTAGCTCAATGAAAAGGAAGGAATAAATGCCTAGGATGGTTGAAAGGAGTGAATTTTAATCCTGTTTGTTAGGGGACTTTCATGGTGGGGGCTGAGTGATTGAGGCTGGAATGTCCACCAAGAGCTTATGGGAATATGAATTATTATATGTTTATACATACACACAGCTACACATGCAATACACACACAGTTTTTCATTTTATTTATGCACAGAAAGGTAAACATCCCCACACCGATACTCATCCATATACAAGCATACACATATTTTAAAAATTGGGGGAAATAAATGGCTTTTAGGAAGAGTAGTTCTACACTCACAAATGCATATTTCTTTCAAGAGCTACAATAAAGGCTTCTTTGGAGTTAAATTATCATTTTGGCCACACAAGCAAAAGTTATCACATGGACTATGTATCCAGAAACAGATTGGATTCTCAGAGTAATTTTATATATTTTTTTATGGATAGATGGAATATTGATGTGGTTCTAGGCACAGTTAATTCTTAAGGAAATGTCCCTGTGTTTGAACAAGCAACAAGACCTTTAGAAACAAGCTTTAGGCCAGACAAGTATAAAGTTCCACCGACACGTTTAGCAGATCCAGCCTAGGTAGGTACCACAAATGAAATTATTATTATTGGAAAGAATTCTTAAGGAAGACCCAAATGACTGATGTTTAATTTKAGCTCCCTTCCTTTATAAATTCTTGCATTTTATCTGCAAACCCTAAGTCAATAAGGAAGCTTTGTTTATCCATCAATAATGACACATTAACGAACAGGCAAGGAGCACAGAGCTGCTCTGTAGCACTACTGCTACACCAAACAAAATCCAAYAAGGACCAAACGCTTGAAACAAAACTATTTGAGTGCTACTTCTGTTGATGTTTCAACATCAACATGSTTCAAACACAAAACCTCACCTTTACATTCATTAAATTAAAATTTCCGAGTCCTGATCCCAAGTTCACTTCACCCAGCAAAAATACCTAAGTAAATAAGARACAGAAGCAGTGGCAGAGGCCCAGTTCCTTAGAAACGTTCTCCATCCAGTCACACAGGAGAGGTTGGGAWACGGAGCCCACATTTGTGCAGGCTAATGGAAGCAAATGCAAATACAGGCTGCCCTCTCCTTTTTCCTAAAGATTGCCATACCTTTCCTACATACTGTGTGGAGATGAGTTGAAACCTGCATTCCTGGGTAGAGAGCAAAGAGGCAGGGGAAAAAAAATAAAGGAGATTTCTGCCAATGACGCACAATTTTACTAGTAAGCCGAAGTTGACAGGCCTGGCTTCTTTGGAGAAGGACTGTGCAAGAAGAGGGAAGCTCCAGCTCTTTGTTAACCTGGAGAACACCTCCAACATGCAAACAAGAACAAGTTTTCCATGGAATGAAGCCAAGGCCCTGGGTTCAGCGCGTCCCCGGATCAGCACGCGGMGCCCACCGCAAGCAGCGCGCGAGGGGCACCGGGGCAGCGAGCAAAACACACCGGCCTGGGGGAAAGCACGCAGAAACCGAGCGAATCAAGATAATCGTGCTAATTATCCTAACGAAGGGAACGGCCGCCCCCTCCCCGCTAGGCGCGGGCAGGCRCGCCGGGGCACCGCGCGACGCTCGCGCTGCCGCCGTGTCTCTCAGCGCATCCCCCGGGCTCAAAACGCCTCCCCAACCGATATCCAGCGCCTGCAGCACCTCTTCCGATTTTATTTTTATTTTTCCCCCCCTTTATGGGGAAAAAAAAAAAAAAAAACCACACACCCAACAAACAAACAAATCAATCCGGCCCAGGTCAGGCAGGGTGGACCTCGTTGCCAGGGCTAATTTGCTTGTGCGGGAACAAAAGCGCGGCTCCGCCGGCAGCCCCGCGCATGCTAATTACGCGGCGTGCCCTTGAGAAGACCTTGGCGGGTCACTCGGCAGTTGTGATCTGTCACTGACTTCTAATCATGTATTATCGCCCGGGTGAGGCGGAATGGTACCCGGAGCTTTCTGTCTTTGCGGCAGCGTGGCACTCTAATTACCTTATGCCAAGTGGATACGCAGGGACTGAATTAAGTGATCACTGTGATTGCCTTCAAAAAAAAAAAAAAAAAAGAAAAAAAATCTTCTCTTTATCCTTTGTGTTGCTGCTCTGCAATTTACATTTTAAGATGCCAGGGAGCTTTTGGTAAAAAAAAAAAAAAAAAAAGAAAAAAAATCTTCTCTTTATCCTTTGTGTTGCTGCTCTGCAATTTACATTTTAAGATGCCAGGGAGCTTTTGGTGAGACGGGAAATGCCACACTGAAAACAAAAAATGTGATTTTAATTAAAAAAAAAGCTTAACACTGAATTTAAGTCATACCCATTTCTAAAAGAATTTAAATCCTGTTAAATATTATAGCTCAATAAGAACCTTTCAGGAAACTTCTTGGAAATTAAGAGACAACCTCTACCTTTCAATCKGCAACTAAAAGAAAACAAAAAGAAACCTAATCTCTCTAAAGTTTCAACAATTCAAAACTGCTACTTGACAGACAAAAATAAAGTGGTTGCTCCACATTTTTACTATGTCTGTATACAGTCCCATACAACAAAAGCTATAGATTAAATTTAAAGCCTGAAAAGCTTCATCATCGTGTTCATCATGTTCATTAACAACAGTGAAGATGAGTTGACCCTGCAAGTCTTACAAATTTGGTAGCAAATTTCTCGCAAATTGGTTAATTCTTTCAGTGACAATTTTAGGCTTCTGTGTTATAACAGCTACAGAAAATGATCTGTATTTTACCCTGCACTTTGAAAATCTGTTGGAGCGACATTACACTCCTCTATTGTTGCATAGCAACTCTCAAAAACTACAAAGCAATCTGTTATGGTAAACCAGTTGTATTAACATCTGTATTTGCCCAAAGAATCATCTAACGCCTTTTGCAAAGAAAATGGGGCAGTAYGTTTTCTCTAGGTTAAATAAGCAGAGTAATGATTTATAAAATTTGATAAGATACATTTTTCAGAATCATCCTGGAAAAGATGAACTCTGAAGTGCTACTTGAAAGTTGTCATAAAACAGGCAAAAATTCCCCACAATGCTATATTTATTGTACCACTAGCAGAAAATCAGGATTTCCAAAGCCTTTCTGTACTGTATGTCAATATTGCGGTATAATTTTTTTTTATAGAAACAAACTGGAAAAAAAAAGAAGAAATAGTCAATAAAAACTATAAAGGACAATTGAGAAAAAATTGCAAGCCTTATTTTCCCTGCATCACATGATGCACAAGCAGCATTATTTGCTGAAACCTCCGTTTGCTGGGGCGGGGGGAGAAGGAGGAGAGAGAGGCAGAGACGGAGAGAGCGCGCGCCTAGAAATAAGATGCATTCCCTGGGTGGCAAAACAAAAGAGCCCGAGAAAAAAAGAAAAAAAGGAAAAAGGAAAAAAAAAAAAAGCTGTAGAAAGTTGACACAGTCAAGAATAATGGCTAAATCTATCAAGTTTGATCAGGTCTGCTATAATGAAGTGGAGCTTCATATTCCGAGCAGGGACAATGAAGACAGAAGTCAGGCTCTAGAAATGTGCTGCTCACTTTGTGCTTGGAATATGCAGCAGCCAGCAGGGAGCCACGAGATAATTACACAGTATTTGTGTGGTTCCAGGAAGCTTCCTGCGCAGGTTGAATGCCCGCRCTATATTAAAAGGCAGCACAGTGAAATGTTTTTAATGAATATTTTTGTCAGAGAAAGAAAAGGCATTTGAATGATTTTTGTGTATGCAGGGAACCAGAGGTGGAACATCACTGTCAAAATACAGGTACCTTTATTTATATTTACTCCATTATTTACAGATTCCAGTGCCTAATGTCCTTTCAATAATACAAATCACAACACCGGGTTAATGCTATTTAGGGCTAATTGCACATACAATCCCTTAACTAATGTTTGCTGGTAATGTGTTGCAGCGAAATCCCACATCAAACTGTGGCTCGAAACTACTTTTATTTTTATTTCCAATAGCAGCTGAAATGTTTAGACATATTTAATCAGAAAACTCAAAGAAGAAGTAACACAGATGTTGATACTTACTATTCAGTAGCCCTTGGCAGTGATAGATCTAAAACACAAGAATACATTATTTCAGCATTCTGTAATTCTCACCTAACAGATGTGAATAATCCACTGAATTAAAAAACCCAGACATGATACTCATAAATGCTCGTTTTGCAGCACAAGCAATTGTATTGATCAAAAACAAGACTTTGGTAAAAAGTTAATTTGAAAGGTTTGTCACTGGTCCAGATTTCAATATTATCTACACCTAAGCAAACCCATATTTTGCTGTTTGCAATTAAAATCACTTCTGGTATGCATGGACAGAGATAATTTACTGTTATGCGCTCCTCACAGAATCCTTGTGGAAGATTAAATAGAATACAGCCCTCCGAGAAACACATGCATATTYCTGCTTCTTAGTCCTGACCAGCGACCACAATTCCCAAGCATTCCCTGGTATGCACAATTTTGGTAGTTTTTAAATAACCATCACTGTGACTATTATAATTATAGCAATTCAAAGAGAATTTCCCTGGCTGAAAAAGGTGGCRCAGGCACCGCTCAGTTGGGCGGCCGAGGTCAGTGGGGACCTCTACCCATCCTACCTCAATTCCATACAATGCTCAGGGGGAAAAAAATAAAAATAATTATTCCTAAATCTAACCTACCCAAAAGGACTGGGAGAAGATCTAGTGGCTCCGTAGGGATTTTCTCAACTTCATTGTTGGGGAGAAATAATAAAATCCTTTCCAGCCTACGTGCAAACAAGGGAAGTACATGGGAGGAGATGCTGATGCTTCAGGTGACCCATTGCATTAGAATGGGTTTCTCAACAAAAGATATAAAAAGTTCATCCAAATTAGTAATAGAAGAGAGAATTCCTTCCTCTCCGCTTTTTAGCTCATTTTTTAGCACAGTTTTTATGGGGTTTTTTTTTGGAATTATGAAAATCAGTATGGAGAAGAGCAATTAAGTAAAAAGATGCTCCTTCTGAATTACACTATTGAAGGAGAAAAACAATGAGTCAACATAACATACTGAACTAGAAAGAATTGTTTTTCCTTTTTTAAGAGGACATCAGAAAATTGTTCAATGCTTCTGATATAGTTTTAATAAATAATTGATACTTTGGATATGGATGGTTTTAAAAGTCTAGGTACTTATGAAGAAAGGTTAAAGTGTCCCAGGTTATGTAATAGCATAATTATGACAGCAAATTAAACCCCAGGGTAATGCCATTTAATTCCTATTTTGCTACTGGAATCAAATGCATCTATGGATGACTCGTACTTTTTTAAACTTTACGTTTGCTTCTTCAGCAGCTTTTTATTTTTTCAAGAGGAATAAAAATGAAACTTCATTGAATCTCTGAGTACTTAAGCAATGTTACTTAGTCCTTGATATCCACAGAGACCGATTCTGCACCTCTGTATGGAAGATTAACCATAGGCAGGAAGCAGACTGGACATAAAAGAAGAATAAAAGGGGGTTCACATATTTATTTTCCGCCTCTTTTCTTGTTTTGCTTCCTATTTTAGCCACACAGAATAGAGCATTTTTAGAAGTGACCTAAGGACTAAGATCGAATAGCTTGCCCAGAATTATCAATGCAATACATATATGTATATATACACACATACACACATTATTTTTGCCACAGAAATGAATATGATTTTGACTCCCCTCTTTGTCTATCTCAGCTCTAATTTGAAAGGAAATCTTTCAATTACTAGATGAAGTAAACAGTGTCACGTTTGGAACCCAAGTAAACATTATAACCTACATTTCATTCCCCTGAGCAAAAGAAAAAAATCCTCCCCTACTGAAAAGGCAATGGGAGTTAAGTAATAGTTTTCATTTTATTTTTGGCAAGTTTTTAAAATTTTTGCTCTTTTGAATGCTCAAGCCCTGCTCTCAAATGGCAGGGATGAGAATAATTATTACTTTGGACCTCTGGCTGTTTGCAGTTGCCTTTTGCAATCAGAGCAAATAGTTTGCAACGAATCAACCAAGACAACTCATGTTAGCTCAGGTTCAAACTGCTCTCTCTACCAAATGTATTTTTCAGTAACTAAAATATCTAACTACAGCTGATAACTTRTTTATCCAGAGCTTTCATACAGTTGCCAGAGCTCAATCGATATTAAACCATTCATTTTTGTTTTGTTATTGTTATAAACAAACTGAAAGCACAAACTCAAAAGACCAGGTTTGCCCTTTATTTACACCTGTCCATTTAAGTCCATTACCTGTCTATTACTTCAGTTTTACTTGAGATTGAGTAAAGAGGAAATTCATTAATGTCTTTCAATCCATTTGCATTTACTCGAGCTTTACCAACACCATAATTCGGCCTTTAAAACAAAATTTAATGGAAAAAAGCAACATTAATATAATCACTGGTGTACACAGTTTTTCCTTACAACTGCCATACAAAYTATTTAATGTAGTCGGGGTTTCTTTTTGCATTTCTATATTAAGCAGTTATTTTGCCAATATTTATACACACCCAAGCACAGACACAAAGTACAAGCAGAGCTGGGAATACCAACTGTAGCTGTTAGTCCCATTGCATGAGATGAGCTTTGTATCAAAAGGGAAAAAAAAGGCTCTTCTCCATTTCATATGCTTTATTTTATTCAACCAGCTCTTTTTCACATTGTTATAAGCAGTGAATATAGCACGGTTGGATTCAGAAGAGAACCTTAAGCGTTATCATAATGCTTAGAAGCAATGGCTTCACACTGTATAATCTATCAAAGGTGTCAGATTTACAAAATGCAGATTTTCTGTCACATTTGGGCACTRTAAGCACTGTATCTTTTCACTAAGGTGCTGACTGCTGTTTTAATGAGGCCCTTTGGTGGCTGTAAAAAACTGAAAGGAGAGGATTATAGGGGTTACCCTAGGTATTGTCTATTTGTCTTACAAATTTCACACTAACTACCAATTACATCGCCATAAACCTTTTGGCTACTTCAAGCTATATGCCATATAATACATAAAAAATACGCTATGTTAACCTCTTCCATATTATACGAGTAACTACAGCCACTGATGCAAGTAACATATCTAATGAAGCCAATAATGAGCCTCTTTAAAAGTAGTCTTGTTATAGGAATAATATTAGAGCAGTTCAGTTAAAGGCTAAGGTCCATTATGGCTCGCTTCCTATGTTCTGCGGGCCCAGGTCTGAAAAGATGCTGACACACTAATTCAGGCTCAAGAAGGGCATTAATCTCACAACCTTCTACTTGTCATGCTTAATGGGACATCCTGCCTAGGTGAAATGAACCTGATGTATTCAGGTAAACATAATTTAATAAGGAGGAAAAAAATAACGAAAGAGCTGGGGTCCAGCATAATAGCAAGGAGAATATTTACAATTTAGTTTTAGCAGAGAGGTTCATTAATGTTTTACTGAGAAGCAAGCAATGCAAAGGGAGAAAAGGGCAACTCACGTAGGATTTGTTTTTTTAAAAAAAACTGAAATATTAGTGCATTTAAAAGAATACATTAATTTGGCGGAGGAAGAGATGTGCTGATGTGGGGCTTAGAGCACTTGAGTGTAAAATCGAGATCTGAAACCATACAGTATGATATTTAAAAGGCAAGCATGAATGTCAGCGAGTAGCTGTATATCCTCTTTTGTCTGTCATCAATCATAAGCCTAATAAGCCACCTAAAATTATGTCAAAAAGATAGGGAGCACTACCAACCATGACTGCTAGGGAAGCGCGTGCCTTCCTTGCGAACCAGGTGGTAAATGCAGGACCCACCTCTCTCCTCAGAAAAAGCACAAGGTACCACAAGGAAAACGCACCCATACACAGTCCACCATACACAGTCCATCACTGATACAGTGCTCTATGATGCTGGATATAAAAGTGTTTTTCACCATGTTGGACACTCCCGTATTGCAGAGTTAACATTACGAAGAGTAGGAAAAAAATAAAATAAAATCAGTGTGAGCTGCTTGGAAATTTATTAAATTGGATTTTACCTCAGGAATCCAAGTCACCAACCTAAAAAACCCCCAAACATTAGGATGAGCCTTCTTATCCAAGAAGATGCCTTGACTTGCACACACCTTGCCCTTCACTGCCCCCAAAGACAAAATGTTGGGCTACTCCTTTTTCCCCTGGAGGAGAAAGATTAAACCCAACTTGTGAAAGGAATAAAACCTTTCTAGGTGCTAAYTGGTGATCAGAATGAGTAGAGGGCTTCTGAGAAAGCAGAGCTTGCCACATCACCATAGAAGATGAAGAAAACATCTTCAGGTGTTTTCTAGCAAACTACATGTGTCTCCCTTACTTTCATCTGTAAAGGCCCAGTGATGGCCAAGTACTCTCCTAGTAATGAAGGCTCAGGGGAACATTTGCAAARACTCTTTTGCTGTTGCTGAATTTTGTTTGGATCCTTATCCGCAGTCACCGGATAACTAGGTAGTAGCCTTGCATCTGATCACTAGAGCAGCACTGTTGAGACTGACCAGTTTTAGGCTGTTTATTTTCTCTAGTTTCTTAACTGCTGTATTTATAGCACAGTTGTGTCGTAGTGGTGGTGTGTCCCCAGAAGAAAACCAAACCTACCTGTCTTCTAACATCTAATCCCTTATCAGATGCAACTGGCAGCATAGCAAAGCAGAGCCCAAACTGCATGTTTTGCATTACTAAAAAGAAATCAAAATTCATCTTTTAACAAGCCCCCCCCCCCCCCCAAAAAAAAAGTACAGAAAGAACCATATTCAATTGGTCCCTTACAGACTCGCACATACACATGTTAATCTTGTTAAGCCTTGAAACACACACTCAAAATAGGCCTTTGCTGCCTCACTGGCTCCCAATGCACCTTTTGACCATAAACATCTGGGTATTTTATCTGGGCTGATTTTTGCGAGCCGTTTGCTCTAAAGCTGCTAATACATGCCATTTCAATGGGGCTCTATGGTGCCTATTAGGTGCTGGCCATGCTGCGAGAGGGTGTGGATTGCGGAGACGTATGGCACCGTGGGGAGCTATAGGAGACATTCAGCTGCTGGAAGGCAGAAAACCTCCTGGA